GTCGGCGAAGTACGCTTGCTCTGCGCCCTTCGCCCCTTTTCCTTTCCCCTGCTCCAGCTTGTCCTTGATCGCCTTGTATTCGAGCATTACTTCCTTTAGCACACCGGTCCGCGTCAATTCCTCCGCGTGTCGCAGGGTTGTGCTTCGTCATGGCATACTCGTCTGAAAGGGCATCCAGGAAGAGGTGAAGGACGAACGTTTCGTTGACAGTTAGTCCTGTCTCGGTTAAGGACTTTGCGGTTTGGAGCATCTCATTGAGGGCGTTTTGGGGGTTTTCACCTCTAGAGATCTTGGTCGACGTCAGGGACTTGAGGTCCTCTGACGGCTGTACAGATGATTCAGGGTCGTGTATGGTCTTGAGCTCACGAAGAGCTCCCTGGGGCGTCTCTGCCCTCTTCATTTTTTTACCGATCTTTTTCTTTCAACGCGTGAGACAGGAAGTTCCACGCGTGAAATGCGAGCTCTACTTGCTCGCTCCGGTACTGCTGTGACAGCGAAATGCTGACCATTTGACTACATGCAAAGTCATCGGATGACTTTGCATGTAGTCAAATGGTCAGCCTTGNCATGCAACCATTTCAAGGTGTACATATGCCCCATCTGCGTGCCCTCTGTTGTTGCCGGTAGATCTAACCAGTCTCTATCCAAACACACGAACAGAGGAATGAGGGTGACTACCAGAGAGAGTCCAAAATATGGTGACGAAACTCAAAACCTAAACAAATTTCCGAACGAATACGGCCTTTGATACTGGACGCGACGCAAAGGGAAAACTCAACGCAATCTAGGACAACGTCTATCCGTTCAAGGCTGACCATTTGACTACATGCAAAGTCATCGGATGACTTTGCATGTAGTCAAATGGTCAGCCTTGAACGAATAAAAGATACACTCTCGGCTCGTAGCCAATCCCAGTGGATCTGATAGGGTGTAGTGATCTCCGGGGACGGACCCCTCGCCACAAGATGCTGCTATTAGCCGATAATGGTGCCTTGAAAGCGATCCACTGGGATTCGGACCCGTGCGTGAATCCTTCATTCGATAAAGGTTGACAATTTGACTACGTGCACAGTCAGCGCTGACTATAATAGTCTAATGGTTTAACATTTGGCGATATCAGGCAGCGTCTGGCGAGGGGTCCGTCCCCGGAGATCTCTACTCACGAACCCAAAAATGTGATCCAGCTGAAAATGAGCTCTGAGCGTATCTTTTTGTAAGATAAAGTTACACCATTAGACTAGTCAGCGCTGACTATAATAGTCTAATAGTTTAACATTTGGCGATATCAGGCAGCGTCTGGCGAGGGGTCCGTCCCCGGAGATCTCTACTCACGAACCCAAAAATGTGATCCAGCTGAAAATGAGCTCTGAGCGTATCTTTTTGTAAGATAAAGTTACACCATTAGACTAGTCAGCGCTGACTAGTCTAAAGGTGTAACTTTATCTTACAACGTCAACGAAGGGCAGGAGAAAAGAACAACGGGCAAAGGCACGGAGAACGATTACCAGCGTGCCAGGGTACCCAACTCGTGTAAGGAGACGGCAAGGGCAAAACCTAATGAGAACCAAGGACGCAAAGCACAAACGATTAATGCAAGAGAGGCGGTCTGACGAACTGCGCCATGGCTCGCTGGCGATACGCATCATACAAAGACATGAAACAGAAAAGTCGTAGAGATACACACAACAAGCCGACGACTTTGGGGCGCGACGGTGATGAAGGCGTCGCCCGAATGTGGCCATGATGGAGACGAAGTAGAACGAAGTGTGGGTGACGACGAAAATCCACGGGAGAAGGCGACGCAACGGGATGGAATCCCGAAGCACCAAGAGTATGCGACACTTCTGTAGGCTCTGTCCCCAAGGAAATTCCCGAGCTTCCTGCATATTTAAGGTGAAACGAGGAGGCAGGAGCGTCGTCGTATGTAGCGTAAACGCAAGCGCCAGCTGTAAAACGCGGAGAGAGCGTGAGCTCACCCATAACCCGGCCGTCCGGTCCAGGGTGGGGGAGGGTGTTGAACACGCGAGAGTTTGAAGCGCATCCAGCTATCACGACCCAGAAGCATGGCGTGCCCCATGGCGGCGTCTGGAACAACACAGGCCCAGACCGCCAAGGCAGCGGTAGCTCTATCTCCATGAAGAAAATTAACGGTGAGACGAATTGACCGGGTGGTCACAAGAGCGGGTCCATCACCAAACCCACCCCAACGACGAGAGGGCGAAACACGAACACTGCCAGTGGTCAAAGCTCCAGCAGCTATCATGGCGGTGACCACGGAGTTGGACACGAAGGACGCAGCACTCCCAGAGTCCAGCAGCGCCACTCGCGCGAGTTGAGAAGTGGCTGTCGGTCCTCCATGCAGCAGAACCCGGGCGGTGTAGGAGTCCGAGTCCAACATGAGAGTGCCGCCTACCAGATCGGGCCCATGTTCCAGAAGTGTAGGTTGGAGGTCGATGCCACCAAATGAACGCCAGGAGCATGATCCCCCGGAGCGTCCAAACGGAGACAAGCTGGGTCTTCGCCCCGGTCCTCCCGTGGCGACGAACCTGCCGCAGTAGCAACCTCGTGAATGCATCGATGTTCATGGAGAGGAGGCTGCGAAAGGGGGGGCGTGGGAGAAGTGGAAGCAGAGAAATCTTCGCCAGACAGGGGATCATCACGCAGAAGGCGTCGAACTTCCGTCAAAGCTTTTCCTTACAATNCGGAGCGTCCAAACGGAGACAAGCTGGGTCTTCGCCCCGGTCCTCCCGTGGCGACGAACCTGCCGCAGTAGCAACCTCGTGAATGCATCGATGTTCATGGAGAGGAGGCTGCGAAAGGGGGGGCGTGGGAGAAGTGGAAGCAGAGAAATCTTCGCCAGACAGGGGATCATCACGCAGAAGGCGTCGAACTTCCGTCAAAGCTTTTCCTTACAATTTTTTACCGCTAGCCACCCACTTGGATGAAACGCTAGCCTCTGGAAAGCATGCAGACATGCCGATACCCCAAACACGATCGAAGGGGCTGGCTTCCGCAAGAAGGCGGGTACCCGGCTTCAGTAAATGATGTTTCATGTCATGGTTTTGAGCAAATTTAGCGTACGACCCCGTAAGCACGATCACTTCTCGACGACGCTCCCATTCAGCATAGTCGAAAAGGCGCACGTTACGACCCAAGAAGTTGTGTGTCTTAGGATCGGTTGTAGCCACAATTTTGTTATACGACGTCATATCCCCAAACAACTTTGCTCTTTCAGACATCATAAATTGCTCATCACATGAATAACGTACCCCTAGTACGTCAAAAGCCGAAGGAGTCCATTGCGAGAACACAGACGGAGGTTTCCAGAAGAGAAGGACGTCATCCGAAGCGTACTCGCACGTGTCATCAAACGGCGGAGCCGGTGCAGGGCGAAGGGGCAAAGAGCGGGCACCACGCACAGGCGGGGGGGGACCAAGCGGACGGGTCCTCATCTCTGACGGAGAGGGCCTAGAAAGCGAGGCAGGAGCGGGCGAAGTCGCAATGCGTCGTGATCCGGAGGGCGGCCTAAGGGCGGCGGCTCCGGCGGGGTCAATGTTAGCAGAGGCCATTCGGCTATTAGAGACCCGTTCGTTAGAAGAAGTCATTCCTGCAGCAGACGGATGTTTATTAATTGACGCAGGGCGCTCTTGACTACTCCCCCTTGACAAAGGAGCAGAACCTTCCACAGAATGGTGGGCACTACCATCCGATCCCGATGGCAGCGGTGCAGTCAGCACGTGCTGGGCAGCAGAGGAAGACGCATTCGTGTCAGGTTCTGTCACACGGGGGAAGCGGACGGTCGAAGACAACGAAAGCTGCGAAAGAGAAGGAGGATCGGCGGGGTTCCCGACGAGTGTAGAAGAAGGCTCGTGTGCTGTCCGAGAAGAGCCCCGGCTGATAACACCAGGAGAGTCTTGACGAACAGAAGAAGACGAGGCTATTGTTCCTTCTGCACGGTGGATGCTGTTGACGGTAGTGCCGGCTGAACTCCGCCATCGGCTTGTCATTTCTTATCCCTCCAGCCTTTTTAGCCGAACTGGAAGCCTCAGACGAGGGCTCTGTGTGCGAGAACTGTTTCGTGTCCGATGTGTCAGATGAGCGGCGGGTGCGTCCTGAGGAGTGACTTCGGTGTGGGTTGCGTCCTGTAGGGCGCCTGTACGAGGTCATGCGCTTTTCCACCGACCCCAAAGGGTGGGATCTTTTTACGTACAGAACTTGTCATTGTTAAGCAGGCCGGTGGCGTTCACGAAACCACGATTACAGGATTTGAAGGAGTGGTCTTCTCCTAAGCAGTTGAGGCACTTGCCCTTGTGCAGTCGAAGCGCGTTGCGGCCTTCTTCAGCCGAGACCAAGGGGGTGAACAATGACGGATCATTCTTGGTTAGAGCCATCTCACTAGCGACGTTGTACACCTCTTGGAAGTGTCCTTGCAACGGCCAGTCATAGTAATGCAACAGAAATGGGTCCCGATCATCATTAGGTAGAGGGTCAACACTCATCACGGCGGCGGAAGAGCCCTAGCTCCACGAAGGGGTCACCGTCGAACGCAACGCCGAAGAAGCTACAGCACGCGAAACAGCAGACGAACTCCTAGCATTCGTGGAAGACACGAAAAATAAATGATGTCCNGGATTTGAAGGAGTGGTCTTCTCCTAAGCAGTTGAGGCACTTGCCCTTGTGCAGTCGAAGCGCGTTGCGGCCTTCTTCAGCCGAGACCAAGGGGGTGAACAATGACGGATCATTCTTGGTTAGAGCCATCTCACTAGCGACGTTGTACACCTCTTGGAAGTGTCCTTGCAACGGCCAGTCATAGTAATGCAACAGAAATGGGTCCCGATCATCATTAGGTAGAGGGTCAACACTCATCACGGCGGCGGAAGAGCCCTAGCTCCACGAAGGGGTCACCGTCGAACGCAACGCCGAAGAAGCTACAGCACGCGAAACAGCAGACGAACTCCTAGCATTCGTGGAAGACACGAAAAATAAATGATGTCCATGCACCGCCGGCGTGTGCGCGAACGTACGCTTGTCCAACACATCCCACATATCATCCAGATACGAAGCATGTCGCCGAAAAAGGGGCTTCCATGGAGAGCTGCTCATCCTTGTACACCTGCCCAGACACTACCGGAAACTGCTTCAACATGGATTCTCGAACAGCTATCTGCACTTGCGCATCCGAAGGCTTGAACGCGTGGTGAGAAACCACGACGGTCATGGCCAGAGCCTTATAGCGACGAATTGAATGTATTCTCCGTAAGTCTCGCCGTTGGACACGCCAAAACTGCGAAGACGATCAATCCCCGAGCTCTTGTCTTGAGTGTCCCAGGCAGCCGCCAATTTCTGGATGAAGAAGGCGTATCTCGAGGGCCCTGCCGATCCCTTGCGCAGATGATTTTCTACCTGTAGGAAGGTGACATCAAGAAATTCCAGCGTGGCACGGTTGGTGGTTTGGCCTTCAAGNAGCTATCTGCACTTGCGCATCCGAAGGCTTGAACGCGTGGTGAGAAACCACGACGGTCATGGCCAGAGCCTTATAGCGACGAATTGANTCACTTGGCCCGGTGGCTCGACGACGTGGTTGGTCGCAGAGCTAGGATCAATCAGAATAAACGCACGCTGGAGGGGGCNCCCTTGCAGCTAGACGCGAAACGAGCAAATTCATCAGGATCAGGACCGAGTGGCAAGCGTGTGACACTATCAAGTTGTTCCATCTTCAGCTTGTCCATCTTGTCTTGAATGCGGATGGTGTCAGTCTCCGCTGCAGCGGCGTCCGCAGCGTCCAGAGCCTCCTGCCTCGCTCTCGCTCCCGTGGAAGACAAAGCCAAGCCCGTATCGTCCAGAGTCAACGGCGACGTCACTTGGCCCGGTGGCTCGNCATTCGGCGAGTCGCATGAAGGGTGCGCTGCATCCTGCTGAGGGTGTTCGGCATCTTGTGCTTACTTCCTTGCGTACGAATGACAACTGCGTATGGCTTAATTTATTTTCTGGTACTTCACTTCCAGAGACAGTTATAAGCATTGTGTAACTGCCTCGAGGGTTCTTGACCATTTTAACACAACGTGGTGCGATCATCCCCCTTGCGCGGATGGAGGGTTTTCCACCCCGCACAACATGATCTACTCGACCACCCTCATGGATACAGCCAAAAAGCAAACAGAGGTAAAAAAAAAGCGGTAACCTGGTTGCCGAGTTCACGAAGGGAGTTGGCTTGTTTTACAAGGTCGTTGCCAAACGACGAAAACCCAACCCCGATGGCAAACACCGAGGAGGGGGCTTGTTTTACAACGTTTTTGCCAAGCGACGAAAACCCAACCCCGATGGCAAACACCGAGGGGGACGGCNNNNGGGGGGGCGTACTCTTATGTTTTGCATGCCTTAGCGGTTAGACCATTGCGGGCGCGAGCTCGCCGCCAGCACAGCGCCACACACTGGCACGTGCTATGCATGCCAACCATGCTGGATCGGTCTCGCTATTACAGCGTGACCCGTGCGTCTCGCATATAGACTGCAACAAGCAGTCGTCCACAGGGTATCGTACGCGCGTGTGCATGTTTCCAAACGGAACAATTGTGCTGGGATGCGTGTTGCCCGGCCATTGTTGACTTAGAGCGGAAGAGTTGACGGTTGGTGTTGTTTCGCAGGGGCGGAAACTGATTCCTGCCCCGTTGCCATGGTTGTTATTGGGCGGGAAGAATCGCCGTTTGGTATCCCATGGTTGGAGGGGAAAAGGAGTTGGGAATTGATGAAAGGGTCAAATTTCCCGACAGGTCAGGGTACATTTCCGAAAACAGGGTACAGTTACTGACAAAAGTAGTCACGGCAGGGGATACCCTGCGCCTTTTCGGACGCACCGGGGTGAAATTGGGCGCTGACGAATAATACGAGTGCATTTACTGCTGATAATGACTGTGTACCCAGGTGTGTCGCTTTTCGACCACGGTATACCGGCGAGTTGGTGGGAGGGGAGAACCCGGGCCGGGGAAGCCCGGAGCAGAACTGGCTGATATGC